TCTGATACACACTCGCCTTCTGGAATAAGACAAACACTGCTTTTTCTGTCTCCAATTCTCTTCTTTTTGACCATCTTTGAAAGTCCAGTTTCTTTTTCCATGGAGTCTTTCCGACTCTGACCTCTCTCTGACTGTCCTCTCAGGCTTTTCTCTTCAACAAAGGTCCAACAGGGTCAGAGCAATAGTACAATGAGTAAGGCATTTTCCTTACACATGGCTGACTTGGATTCAATCCCCAGCATCCCATATGATTTCCCCAAGCACAACCAGGAGTAATTCCTGCGTGCAGAACCAGGAGTAACTCCTGAACATCGCTGGGTGTGATCCAAGAGCAGAAAGAGAAGGAAGAAAGGAAGAAAGGAAGGAACAAAGGAAGAGGGAAGGAAGGAAGAAAGGAAGGAAGGAAGGAAGGAAGGAAGGAAGGAAGGAAGGAGGAAGAAAAGAAAGACAGAACGCAAGCAAGCAAGTAAGCAAGCAAGCAAGCAAGCTCCTGCAACAATTTCACTGACTTGCAGTCTCTAGCTCCTTTATTTTTTACCACCCGAACCAAAAGGATCTTGAACCAAGATCTTACCAGTGCTAAGACAGAGGGTCAAGTTAAGGAAGGCTGCCAAGATATTTCCCCTACTCAGGCCACACTTCAGGTCTGTTGTCATTCTTCCAGAGCTGAGCCCCTATAGTTGGAATAGTTCTCAAAATGGGGTGTTCTCCTAAGCACTGCGATGGGCAGTACTGAGCACTTCAGTTTAAGGGATGAAGTTTAGAAGTGTCTATTCCAACCTGCCTTGTCCTGAAGTCCCTTCATTTCCTTATTTCTCTGGGACAGGAAACTAAATGTGTGCATCATTTTTTAAAGTAGTTGGGATTATTGGGCAGGACATTCCCTGTCAGATTAGTACAAATGTTCACAGTATTATTATTAGTCTATTCATTTGTCAAGTAGGAAACTGTACATAATTTGGGAGTCCATCTCTTCATGTTGAACATCAGGGAGGATATTTACAGGGGAACAAAGTCATTGACACCAAGTTGCTGGAGTATGGGGTGGGGTCATGCAGAGAGTATTCATGCAAAGCGTGGTGGGGGGCACATGCAGAGAGTATGCATGCAAAGCGGCGGGGGGCATGCAGAGGGTATATATGCAAAGTTGGACAGACTGGTCTCCTTCGGAAGGTATACTTGCCTCTCAAGCATCTGGAACTGGAATTTAGGAAGAGTTTCCACCAGTCCCTATTTCAGAGGCTCTCAAACTTTCCTTCTTTGAATCACCTGGACAGCTTTAAAAACCCCTAATGTCTTTCAAATGTTCATCATAACATAGTTGTGAGTCAGACCACAATCATGCCAATGTCATTAGACTATCTGAGAGTGGGATCTTCAGTAGCTTTAAGTCTGTCCAGGTAATTTAAGTATACCATGAGAAACACTGCCATGAGTGTTAGCAGTGACTGTGCCTCTGTTGGTTGCACAAACAATATGGTTTATGCCAATTTCCTTTTTTGGAAGTCTAGAATTTTGGAGGTTGATGGGCAAACTGGTGTTTATATGATGAGTCCCCAGCAAAATCCCAGATCCTAGAAAACTCTTTTGAGCTTCCCTGGTAGACAACAGTTAAGATATACTGTCACAATACAGTGCTGAAGGAATTAAGTATGGCATGGCAGACTCCACTGAGAGGGAAGGCTCAGAAGCTGGCACCTCCTTTCCAAGAGTTGGCTCACCTTTTCCCTGAACTGAACTTGGTCTGTTCCCTTCTGATAAAACAAATCACAGCTTATGTATAAGTAGATGGTGATCCTAGCAAAGAATCAGACCTAGGATGGCAATTCTAGCAAAGAATCAGATCTAGGAATGATTCCAAGAATGGGGAGCTTAATATATTCATAGGGTATGCTCCAAATCACAAGCCAACAGCTTATAAAAAGAAGACATGCAGTGATAGGCCTTGAATAGGGTAAGGATATGACTTGGGGCCAAGGGACTACCCTGGAGAAGGACATTATAATAGGTTACTGCATAGAGAAGGGAATTAACCTGATACAATCCTTTGCCAACCCTCTTTGTCAACTTCCTTCTTTGCTTGGGCTTGAGAAGTTTTGCATACTTCCAAAATGAGGGCAGGCCATTTTCCCTTCAGATTCTTTGTATCTCTATGTCTTTACTAGAAAGTGGCCCTGACACCTAGAGAGTCACAGTTTCTGCACAGGAGTGACAGCCTTGCTATTGACAGCACAAGCCTGGCAAGCTGTGTCTGCCTAAAACACGAAGGTTGGGGCCAGAGAGATAGTGAGGCAGATAGGGCATTTGATTTGGATGCAGCTGATCCAGGTTCTATCCCCAGCTCCCCATATGGTCCCCAAACACACACCAGAAATTATCCTGAGCACAGAGCCAGGAGTAAGCCCTGAGCACAACTGAGTGTAGCCCCCAAACCAAAACCAAACCAAACCAAACCAACAAAGAAACCTTATAGGTTACATAAAAGAAATGTGAAGTAGATTATTCATTCCACATGTCTGCCAAATGGCCTCTCTCTCTCCCCTTCTTGTTAAGGTTTACCTGGTCTTCAAAATTAAAAGACATGCTAGTTGATGAAAGAATCTGTTCCATATTAGAAGTGATCTCATTTCACAAGGACTAAAATGAAATTGTTTTATAAACACTTGTTTTATAAGCAGTGAATACTCAGGATCAAGGACCATGTCTGATGATGGATACAATCACTTCTTTCTTTTTCATAAATCATTCTTTTTATCATGGTAAAATATACAGAGCATGAAAATTACCATGAGAATTATTTTAAAGTGTATGATTCAGTGGCAGTAAGTACATTCAGATGCTCTGCAATGCGTCCACTATTTTCAGAATTCTACACTCCAAAGAGAAAACCTATAGCTAAAAAGCAATAACTTCTTAGTGACTCTCCCTGATCCACTTCATAAGCCCTCACCCCCAACAACCTACTTACTGTATCCATGAATCACACTGTCTTTTGCAGTAGTTATTGTTTTGTGCATATTTCACTTATCTTAATCATTTTAAAGTCAATCCAAGTTGGAACATGTATCAGTACTTTTATGATGAAATATCCACTGTGTAGATAAACCATATTTGTTTTGCAGTCATTTGTTGCTGGGAGCTTGGGTTTCCCCGACCATATATTTTTCAAAATATTTTTATTGATGTAACATGGTTTATGCAATTATCTAGGCTTCAGTTACACAACACTATGAATCAAAATCGGCATGTACCACATTAAATTTGCCACGGAAAGTCTAGTTGTCATTTTTCACCATATAACGAGTCCCTTCTATCCAATTAATCCAGCTTTCTTCCTCTTCCCTCCAGCAACTACTACTTTGCTCTTTCTTTCTTTCTTTCTTTCTTTGCTTGCTTTCGTGGTACTGGCATTAAACCCAGGTCTTCACACATGCAAGACAAGTGCACTAACTAAGCTGTGTCCCCAGCCTACCACTGTTTTGTTCTTATTGTCTAAAATTGGGGGTTCTTGTTTGTTTGCTGTTTGTTTTGGTTACCATTAATCTTGCTTATTTGAGTATTCATTTACTCTGCAATTTATAAAGCACATTATTAATATTACTCCATTTGATCACATCAAACCTCTACAGTATAGAAAATACCATTTTCTTTTCTTTTCTTTTCCAGGACAAGCAATGGTGCTGGATTAAGACTTATTGGTTGACTAATTAATAATGACTCTAGTCAAATCACTGCTTTACAAAAATTAATAATTCCTGAAGCCTGTCAGTGGAAGGACAAGTTAAAAAGCAAACCAGACCTTCAGAGGAATTATTAAAATCACAAATTAAGTCATTTCTATTGAGTCTATAGCAGGAAATATATTTTTAATGAGAAAATTGAAGCTAATATGTAACAGCTGTCCTGTTACCCAGTAACAGAGTTTAAGGCTGATTAAATTATTAATTAAAAATAAAGCAACTTGGAAATTTAACTTTTAAACATTCTTTTATTCCTTTCTTTTATGTAGGCCTTTAAAATGATATTTAAAAACACATTTGGTCATTTATGTAGTTTCCATTTGTAATTTTTTTGCCACTCATTAACTATGGAATCTTTAGCAAGTTCCTCACTATTAGACTTCTTCATGATGCACTTGCTAGTATCATGCCTGCAATAGCAGAGAGTCTCCAGGAATCCAGGGATCTGAATGGTACCTAAATTAACCAAACCTTCCCAAGCTCCCACTGCTGCTTTGGAATCCTCATTAGATGTTCTGAATCAGACAAAATGCTCTTAATCCACAGAAGCACAAGCAAAGTTGTAAGTATTATGGATATAAGTGGGCAGGGCATTTGTTTTGTATGTGACTGACCCAGGTTCGTTCCCTGGCACCCCAGCATTTGGGAGTTGTCTTACGTGCAACAAAAGCAACTGACAATGGGAGATGTTTGCTGAAAGTAGACTAAGGAAAGTAGAAAGAAAGTAGACAAACATGATGGCTCTTCAGTATCTGTACTGAAAAACCTGATGCCCCAAAGTAGAGTGTAAGAAGAAAGATACCTACCCCAGAGGCAGGGGATGGGATGGGGTGGGGATGGCAGGAGGGATACTGGGGACATTGGTGGTGGAAAATGCACACTGCTGGAGGGATGGGTGTTTGATCATTGTATGACTGAAAATCATGAAAGCTTTGTAACTGTATCCCACGGTGGGTCAATAAAAAATACATTAAAAAGCAACTGACAACACTGATTCAATAAGTTTTTCATACATTACTAAAGTAGCAACTATACATATATATAAAAAAGAAAGACTATGGAAGAGAGAGAGAGAGAAAGAGAAGGAAAATAAAAAATCACAGTGGGTATGGTGTTAAATGGGGAGAGGTGGGATTTGTTTTAGAGCTACACTAACAAGGCCTTGAAGATATGCCCTCCTTGCTTCTAGAGGTTCCCTTCCAGCCCACAGAGGATCAGAGTGGCACTGCCTCCAGCCCAGTCCTGGATGTGTGTACTCACGTTAGTGTTGCATAGCTTGTACTGCCGATAGGCACCAATGCAGGAGATGGCTGCAGAGCGGGCAGGCTGAGAGAAGCTCTGAGCTGTCCTGTGATTCCCCATGTTGCTGCCTGTTTCCGGTCCATGGAAGAGACTAGAAGCTGCAGGAAGGCCTGAGTCATGGGTCAGTGGCAGATGGTAGATGGAGGTCTCTGAGGCCTGGAGTGCAGAACGAGGACCGCTATCACTCTGGTATAAAGACCCATGTCGAGGGCCACTCTGGGCTAGTGGGCTAAAGCCAAGTCCAGGACTAGATGCTTCCTGAGAACTGGAGTGCTTGGATGAGGGCCTTTGCCTTCGAAGCCTCTGCAGAGAGTGTGCAGGGCCTGTCTGTAGCGGGAGGATGTATGGGGCCTTACCATAGCCATACTTCCCAGGGCCAATGGGCCCTCGGGTCCTGCTCCTAGAGACACACAAAAGAGAAGAGGAGGAGAACAAAACAAAAAAAAATTACTCAAAAGAACACATGCACATCATTGCTGCACTTAATACAAAAGAAAAGATATGGAATCTGCCTAGGTGCCCAAAGACAGATGAGTGGATTATGAAGAGGTGGTATATATACACACAATGGAATACTATGCAGATGCAAGGAATAATGAAATCATGCAATTTGCTGAAACATGGTTGGAACTGGAAGATATTATGTTGAGTGAAGTAATCCAGAAGAACGACAAATGCAGGCTGATGTCACTTATCTGTGGTATATAGAATAACTGGGTGAGAAATTAATGCAGTTAAAGGGAGATGCTAAGATCTCCCTAGACCTCAAAGTATAGGCAGAAGAAGGATGGAGAAGAAAGAAACCAAGGGGACAAAAAAGAAGATGAAAAAGGGAAGCAATGGAGGCATGGGGCTTTGGTTATACCGGTGATGTGGGAGTGTGGCATAACTATTCAACAACACTGAAAACATGGGGTCTTTAGTGTCTCTAAAAGACAACCACTGAACTTTAAAATGCCCTTTGAGGTGGCAAAACACTGGTGGAGGGAAGTTGACACAGTGGTGAGACTGTTGTTGAACTCAACTATCAATAAGTTTGTAAATCACAGCTCTTTAATTAACCTTTTTAAAAATCTGTTAAAGAAAAAAGCTTTGGGGGCCAGAGTGATAGTACAATGGGTAGGGCATTTGCCATGTGGCCATGCAATCATGTGGTCAACCCATGTTCAACTCCCAGCATCCCATTCGGTTCTCCATGCACCACCAGGAGTATATCCAGAGTGCAGATCCAGGAGTAACTGCTGAACATTGCTGGGTGTGGCACAAGAAAAAAAAAAGATTTTTCAGGTTAACCCAGTGGTGGCCACTGTGGGACATGGGTTGGTCTGGGCAGGTAGGAGAGATTGGGGGGGGGGAGAGAGAGAGAGAGAGAGAGAGAGAGAGAGAGAGAGAGGGAGGGAGGGAGGGAGGGAGGAGAGAGGTGGGGAGGTGGACAGGGAGGAGAAGGAAGGACCATGGGGCTAGAAGGCAGAATGAAGGTGGGAGTGGGGGTCTACAGCAGAGGAAGTCTGGGCTGACAATGTCAGAATTGTACACTGTAGGCAGTATTTGACTTACAACAGGGACTTTGGCCTGTTGGTTGTAGGGAACCAGTAAAGAGTGTCTAAGAAGTATAAAGACCTCAGCAATTTCAGTCATAATGACTTCCTGCTCACTTTTTCCTGATGATTGTGTGTGTGTGTGTTTTCTTACTCAGTCAAACTTGGTATTTTTAACCCCGTTTCTATTACCATTCCTACCAAATCACTTTTCCAAGTGAGTGAAACTCCACTCATCAACCAGAACCCAACGAACTCCTGAACCTGCACAGGTTCCGTCTCATTCCTGAGAGGGGGGTGACCATTCACCCTAAAGTTGACCCAAGGAAACAATGGGTTCACAGTCATTTCCATGTTAGTATGGAGATCATCTGTATCTGGTCAAAATCTGTTTCCTCGTGAGACCTTAGAAAATCATATAAACAGTAGTGTGATGCCAAAGGTAATTTAACAACTGGCTTAGCCAGGATGGGGACAGCCAGATGGTCATGTTGGTTCATTTCTCTTGTAGAAACAATCCCACTGAGGTCAGTCTCAAGCTACCAATTTCCACTGAAGAGGGAAAAGACATTTCCAGCCCACAAATGCATGTAAATTACTTGTGTAATTACTGTTTGTACAGGGCTTTCTGGTAATGTGAGGGAGTGGTAAAGCTGTGTATGCAAAGCACAGACTCAACAACACTTGAAACATGAAAGCCAAACTACAATTGCCAAACTGGGGGAGGGTGGACAAGGGGACATGGTGGAGGAAAGTTAATACTGGAGGTAGGATGGCAGCTGGAACATTCTGCCTGAACTCGGCTCAACTATCAATAACTTTGTAAATCAGTTCTTAAATTTTTAAAAATTTAAATACACACACGTAGTGAGGGATGTTAAAAGAAATACCAAATAAAACCAGCCATGGTTCCCAAGTCCCAAGATTACAAATGTTGAACAACTGGAATATCACATTGCACTGGGGGAAAATGTAGCTGGGATGGAGAAAGGAGCACTAAATAAGTGATGGTTGGAGGGATTGCTCTGGATAGTAGATGCATGTTGAAAGTAGACTATGGACCAAGCATGATGGCTGCTTGATACCTGTATTGCAAACCGTAACACCCATAAGGAGAGAGAAAGAGAGTAAGAGGGATTGTGCCTGCCACAGAGGCAGGAGATGGAGGGGTGGGGGTGGGGTGAGGGATACTGGGAACATTGGTGGTGGAAAATGGACACTGGTGGAGGAATAGGTACTTGAATACTGTTTTACTGAAATGCAACCATGAAAGTCTGAAAGTCTGTAAATGTATCTCATGATGATTCATTAAAATTTTTTTTTAAAAAAAAGGTGGGCTAAGGGTGTTGGAAGCAATTTAGCAAGCAGTCCTATGGGAATTGTGAAGCCAGAGGAAGCATTTCTGTCCAGAGGGATTTGAGGTTTTCCCTTCACAGGCCTGAGAGCTGGGAAGTATGAGTTCCAACACTCTTTTAAGTAAGTCATCCAATTCTTATTTATAAAATGACTGAGCTGAGTTAAATGACCACGAAGGTCATTCCAGCTCTAAAATTATATGCTTCCATAATAATTAATCCTACATCTCTCTAAAACTGGAAATCTGCCCAAGGGTTTCTACAGGACAACCCCATTAAAATAAGCACATTAAAATAGCAATCAAGGTGAAACATTCATTTCTGTCCTCACGAGGAAATTCTTTCTTCACTCTACATAACCACTGAATATAAAATTTAACAGACCACAACTAATTATTAACATCTTTATCACTAATTAGACCTTCATTTTTTAAACTGATATGGTTTTGAATTAAACTGTTACAGTGTTTGTCTTGCCTTTGGGCACTTCTCAATTAATTTCAGCAACTCTCTGAATGATGGGGGAAATCCAGCATGCTGCTTTAAGAGATGCAATTAAGACACTAGTCATATGTATATGCATATGTATACATATATGTACATAGGTGTATATGTGTGTTCAAGTTATATACATATAACTTGGACCGATTTTTTCTTGTGGCATGCCAGGTAAAATGAATGACATTATGCAAAGGCAAAGAAAAGAATGTGTATGTACAAGCTCGCGTGTGTGTGTGTGTGCACGCGTGCACACAACTTAAGGTCTACCATGAATTCTAGCCTCAACACAAGGACTGGATGGGAACCACAGCTAAAGGGAATGGAGAAATCAAGCTGAGGGTCAGCGGGTGGGGATCCAACAGTGCTCACATTTGCAAGTGCCCAGCAGCTTAGTAAAAAGCAGATTCAGTTTCAGTTTCAGGAGGTCCAGTCTGGAGCCTGAGATTCTGTATTTCCAAAAGATTCCCAGGGAGGCTGCTGATGACTTTGATGGGGCAAAGACTGATGCCAGTCAAGGGATGAAAATCACAGTAAAATGTATCATTTCTAATGGAGAAGGAGAGCTCCAAATTCTAATGGAGGAGAGGTAGCAATTTTAATGAGAAAAGCTAGAAAGTTTTTGTTTGTTTCTGGGCTATACTCAGCTGTGCTCAGGGCTGACTCCTGGCTTTGCACTCAGGGATCACTCCTGGTGGGGCTCAGGGTATCATCATATGAGGTGCCATGGATTAATCCTGGGTCAGCAGCTTTCAAAGAAAGTGCTCTATCTGCTGTACTATCTCTCCGGGCCCCAAATATATATATATTTTTTTTTTCAGAAGAAAAATCTGAGTTTGTGACAGATGTGTAGATGCACTGACCCTAGCCGCATCACCTGTGTCAATTCACCCAGAGAACTTGGTCTTGTTTTAGGTGTGGAGAAGGCAGAGGGAGTGGACTTGTGTGACCATCTCTCGGGTGTCCAGTGTCCCTATGGGGGAACCTACCTGTGCAAAAAGATATCTTTGAGTTTATGTTGTCTCATGGGAAACTCTGCCTCAACTGAGAACCATTCAAACTGCCCCCAACACACACACACACACACACACACACACACACACACACACACCAGTGTAGATCATCACTGGAAAGCACGGATGAGCTATTTCTAATACAGCCCAGAGAGTTAGCAGCCACAAAGCAGTAGTTGCAAGTGAGGTGATTTCACAGTGCTTGTCTCAGAACACTTGGCCAGGCGGCAGCTTCCCTCTCCCTTGGCCTGGAGAATGTGTGTTTTTCTTATGGCCAGTCGGAGCTAATCACCCTGACAGTTCAGAGCAGCCTCTTCACCATCAAGACGGAATCCATCTGGCCACTTCAGGGGGGCCTCCCTGGACTGGGCAGATTTATGCAAAGTTGGGATAATAAGCACAGATGTGGCTGAAAGGATCTGTGTGGCCAGTTAACCCTTCCCGGGAGCACTAGTGAGGGCTTGGGGGTGGGAGGCGCTGTTTGCTTAATTAGGTTCCCTATAACTTATCTCTGGGATCTTAACTTGCTTAAGGTTTGACGAATACTGGCAAGTTAGGCCTTAAGAAAGAAATGGAAGCATTTGGCTCAGAGTTTACTGATCTTCTATGTCATAGACCTATAGAAGTCACCAGTAACCCCAGTGTATACTCGGTCCAGGCTCTCCACATGGGAATCCCAGCCCTGCAACTTACAATGAGGGACTCTGGATATGTTGTTCAGCTTTTGTTTTAACCTGTTTCTTCAAACAGGGCACAATCTTTATGGGATACTCTTTCTTGGGGTCTTGCAACTGCTGGTTGGGATCAATGTTGCATGCCAGTACCCCTTGGCCCGCCTTCCAGATGCATTTATAAATAAAAATGATAATATTTCTTTCTACAGAGGTTGTTGGGGAGATCAAACGACTTAATAAACCTGGCACCGAGTACAGAGAATACAAACATTTGTTTTAAAAATAAAATTTCTGGCTTGGCTAATTACTAATTTGATGAATG